TCATTTCAGCAGATAATTGCCTGCCTCAGGGTATTGTGGTTTTGTGTTTTTTTTGTTGTTGTTTTTTTTTTATAGGCAGAGATTTCTCATATCAGATTTTAAGTGCTTTCTGAAATTAACTCTTGGGCTCCCGTTTTGGTACAGCCAGGAATTAGGATCTAGTGAAGCCTATATGGGAGTGTTATGGATGTCTCCTCTTTTCTGCTTTCTCCAAATATGAATATTTGTACTAGGTTCTTGATGTGCTGCAGAGCTTATTAGGAAAATAATACTGCATGTACAACATTGAAACATGCTGTCTAGTTGTACATTCTACAGACCTTGTTCCTTTCACGTGTACCACCAAGTCTGTAGAAAAACATTAAGCTAGCACAGTTAAAGTGGCAAAAAAATAGGTGCTACGTAAACATCTATTGATAGGATCAATGAATGAATGAACACATGAAGGCATTTTCATTGATATCTTCTTTTTTAATGTTTATTTTTGAGGGGTTGGGGAGGGGCAGAGAGAGAGGGAGACACAGAATCCGAAGCAGGCTCCAGGCTCCGAGCCGTCTGCACAGAGCCCGATGTGGGGCTTGAACACATGAACTGTGAGATCATGACCCGAGCCGCAGTTGGATGCTTAACAGACTGAGCCACCCAGGCGCCCCTTCACTGATAACTTTTAAGTGACGCACAGAACACTCTCACGGTGCAGAGAAGCTATAAAACGAGCTGTTTGGTTGGTCAATAAAATAAACACATTCAGCCTTAGCTTTCAATATCCTCACCAGGACTGTTAGAGTGTCAAATTATAAATGAATGTGTAGCCTTTCTGGACCTTTTCATATTGGGTATCTGTGACTTTAGAGGCCTTCATAGGGGAAAGTCACTAAAGAGTATTTAAACTAGCAGAAAAAGAAAGTGGCTGAAAGATATTTTTAGAGATCATTTTTGTTTCACAGTCCACAGGCCATTACAGCAGAGCCTCAGGGTTGGACTCTGGTCCCCAGACATTTCAAATAAGCAACAATAGTTTGTTTTTCAAACAGCTACAGAAGAAGAGCTAACAACTTGTGAACTGCCCTCTCATTTTAGTCTGCATGAGGGATAGATATTAGGTTTGAAAAACAGAGTTTATTTAACTGCTAAGGAAATTAGGCCCAGAGTAACTGGGACTTGCTTAAGATCACATGGCCACCAAGGGCAGAGTCACTAAACTATCCACCGTGCCCTGTTATCCAACACGTGTGACCACCAATGCCCTAAGGCCACAGTTCTCAGCTGGGAGTGACTTTGCCCTCCCAGAGGGTATTTCATCATCGCTGGAGACATTTTTGGCTGTCACAGCTACAGGGTGGGTGCTGGCATTGAGTGGGTAGCGGCCAGGGATGCTGCTTAACGCCCAGTAATGCACAAGACAGCCCCCCACCCCCAGCAAGCTATCATCTGGCCCACGAAACCATATCTAGACAATAAAGCGAGGAACAACAAGAATTCTTTTTTGGAAGGCTGGAAAGGGCAGTGGGGTGTGACAAATGAGCCGACAGAAGTCTTCCTCGGTCCCTGTCCCTTGATGTCTGTCACAGGACAGTCTCCTATTCAACACTTCGCAAGTGTGTAAAATGAAATTAATGGAAGAAAATGCATATTTGGGGGACAATCAGTCAAGGACGTGGTGGGAGCCGTCTGGACACCTAACCTTTCTCGTCTCGGAGCTTTCCCACACTTTTTCATCTGTAAATTCATAGGAGGATTAAATGACCAAGCACCCAGCTCATATATAGCATTTAGTAAATGTTAGCTACGACCACTGTCTAATTTCATCTTCCCAGGAGAGAAGAACTAGTATCCTAGTTTTATAGATGAAAAAACTGAAATTCAGAGACTGTCTTGTAGCGTCGTCAACAGCAGCAAATTCAGAGCAGAAAAGGGCTGAGGCAGGGGTGGGCGTATCTCCCCACCGTCTCCCCACCACGCCACCCTGGCTCTCTTCTCTTTCGCACACATGCCCGCCTCACAAGTAGGACATGACTACGGCATGAAAACTCTCCCTGGACACGCGGCTCACAGTTTGTATTTTAATTTTTACTTCTCTTTTAGCAACAACTACAAAAACCTGTAACATTTAAGCTGTTTCAGAACAAATAAAACTTTGGCTTTTCTTTCATACTGTATGTCGCTTATTTCATGCATTGTAATGGCCCATGTTTTACCAAAGTTTAGATGATAATGCAGCCCCACACTGAAGTGATGAACGGCAAAGGGAAACACAGTTAACTTCACTGTAAAGAAACCTGGTGTACATTCCTTTACTCAAGTGATCAAAGTTAACTTACCAATACTGGGCTAAACACCATTTGCCTCTTAGTATCATGCACTGAAAACACTTTGTCCCTTAAATTATATTCCCAGCAAACAAAGCCTAAAATATCAGGCAAATCGAAATTGTTCTATTCCCTTCGAAAATACCAAGGTCATAAAGACGAAAACATGGAAGAGGCACTATTCCAATTTTTAAAACAATTAAAGAGACACGGCTACTAAATAGAACGTGTGAGCCTGGATTGGATTCTGGACGAGGAGGGGCAATAGCTATAAAGGACTTGGTTAGAACCATTGGTATAATTTAATACAGACTTGGATCATATAATGGCATTTTATCAGTGTTAATTTTTCTTATGTTGGTCTCTTTACTGTAGTTAGGTAAGAGAATGTCGTTATTCCTAAGGACATGAAATATTTAGAGTTAAAGGCAGTTGTAATATTGGTACACCAGTTCTCTGGAAACAAATAATAGTAAGTCAAAACCCTAGTTTGTAGTGTCTGTTTATTTCTGTGGTGGAAATGCTCCCACCACGAATAATTTTAGAAGTCACTGAGTACAGAATTGGGACGACAAATGCACTGTATATTATGTATATTATTTTAATTATAATTATAATTATGTAAATTACATATATCATAAATTCTATTTATATATAAATGTATATGATTTAATACATGTAACCTACACATACATTACACTACATATACTCACGTATATATTATACATGTATATGTGCATCTATACATGTATTATATGTATAATCTATACATGTGTTAAGTGAGATAAAGCAAATATGGAAATACACTAATAGAGATTATAAAGGGATTCATGATAATGAAGCAGAGAAAAAGAGGGAGATTAAGGCAAAAGAGCACGATTTAAGAATTACAGAAATCAGTGACTCATTGAAAAGGAACAACATAGGAGTCTCGTGATAATTCTTTGTATTACACGTGAAACTTTTCTGTAAATTTAAAATTGTACCAAAAAAGTAAAGTTCAAAACCTATAGATTGTTACAAAAAAATGTTTCTCCAGGTTATTGGGATGATGGCAGTGTTTTAGGGAAGCATTAAACACTGATTACAACCTACAGGAAGCACATTTTGATGCTAAGCTTTGGAGACATTGAGAAAATTACTTCAAGTCAGTAATATTTCATCTTATGTGGGGGGTTAAATGTTAAAATCAATGAATATGTTGTGGCTTTAAAAACACTCTTGGGATGCCTTAAGTCTTCCGTTAAGACAGTACAGTACTGGCCTTCACTGAGTCAAGCCCAGCCAGTATTTGCTTCTTTAATAGAACCCCAGATGGAGAAGTTTAAGGACCACATTTTAATTTAAAAAAAACAAACACTTCCGGGGTACCTGGGTGGCTCAGTCAGTTAAGCGTCTGACTTCGGCTCAGGTCATGATCTCACGGTTTGTGAGTTCAGGCCCCGCGCTCAGGTCTGTGCTGACAGCTCAGAGCCTGGAGCCTGCTTCGGATTCTGTCTCCCTCTCTCTCTATCCCTCCCCGACCAGTGCTCTGTCTCTCTGTCTCTCAAAAATAAATAAATGTTGGGGCGCCTGGGTGGCGCAGTCGGTTAAGCGTCCGACTGCAGCCAGGTCACGATCTCGCGGTCCGTGAGTTCGAGCCCCGCGTCAGGCTCTGGGCTGATGGCTCAGAGCTTGGAGCCTGTTTCCGATTCTGTGTCTCCCTCTCTCTCTGCCCCTCCCCCGTTCATGCTCTGTCTCTCTCTGTCCCAAAAATAAATAAACGTTGAAAAAAAATTTTAAAAAAAAAAATAAATAAATAAATAAATGTAAAAAAAAAAAAAATTTTTTAAACAAACACTTCCTAACCCTCTGAATACTGGGACCACACTTAGCACTGAGAGATACTCACAACATAAGAGATGACTGGGCACATAGCCAACTAAAGAGATAACACATTCATTGCTCCCATACTCCCAGGCATATGCTTATGGAGAAGAATGGAACACGAACACAATTCAAATTCCTCTCTCTCTTTTTCTCTCTCCCTCCCTCCCTCCTACCACTCCTTCTCTCCCTCCCTACCTCCCTTGTTCTCCCCCACCTGGCAATTATAAGTTTCAGAGCCAGAATTATTTGAACCCCTCTCCCAAGGGTTATTCTCTTTTGCCACCTCACATCTGTCTCTAGAGGATGCCAGAATGGAGGACCACTTTCAGGAGACACTACATTCAAAGGCTAAAGAGGAAGAGATAGCAACACCAGACAAAGATGGGAGGAGACTGAGATTCGTCCAACTTCCGGGAGCTAAGAGAGCAGAAGTTGTTACTGAACAGTACCAACCGGTGTAAGAAAAGTCTGGAAAGGGAAGACTGGAAAAGATCAGAAAACTGAGACACTAGGTGAATCACGTGGCCCATCAAAAACGAGATGTCAATAGAGTAATAAGAGCAAAAGCCAGTGGAGAGCAAAGGAAATAGGGTGGCACAGTTCAGAGGCCTAACAGATTCTGTGTGTTTGTTTTCCAGACCTTTCCCCTTATTCCTCTGAGTTCACCGTGCACATCACAAAAAATGTGCTGCAATGGTCTCTTCACCAGGGTAGCGGTGCCCCTAAGACATCCTTTAAGTTATTTGGGTCCATTTGCGGTGTGAAGCTTTGCTCATGTGATTTGTGACTTTGAGGGGAAATAGGACTTGAGGGAAAGCCAGCTAGTCTGTGCAGACCAGTTTTTATTCGCAGAATGGGAAGTATAAGGCTCATGGGGAGCCTACTGTAGCGTCTCATGGGATCAGGGCAGAGCCCTCAGGACTGACTTGGCCCATCAGATAACGTCTAAGGAGCACATTTCTCCCCCACTTTGTGGGATTTCCTCCCACAACACACGACACTCCTACTTGTTGTCATGGGCTGGTTCTTCTACATTCAGCAGAGAGCAGTTCCAAAAGTGGGACATTGTCCGCACACAGTGTGCAGCCTTCAGTCTCCCACAGTGTGCCCCTTGTGACGCACTGTAACAAATAAACTCATTATCAGCTTGATAAAAGCCACCCCTCCCCCCCAACCCCATATTTCTATAATTATGAACATTTCATTAGTAAATTACCGGTTAGCTCGCTTAAGTCAGAAGCACTGTCAAGAGAGCATTTGTTGCCCTAGCTTTAAATCGCTCAAATAAGCAAACAAACAAGAAAACAGCAATATCTTTAGTAAAGATCACAATAATATGATAGAATATATACACTTCTGCTTTGGTAACTAAAACACAAAGCTGATGTTTTTAAAGAAGTAACAATGGTCAGGGGGCGCCTGAGTGGCTCAGACATTTAAGCGCCCGACTCTTGATTTCCGCTCAGGTCATGACCTCACGGTTCACGGGATCAAGCCCCGTGTTGGGCTTTGCACTGACAGCATGGAGCCCACTTGGATTCTCTCCCTCTCTCTCTGCCCCTCCCATGCTCATGTTCTCTCTCTCTCTCTCTCTCTCTCTCCAAATAAATAAATAAATTTTTAAAAATAGAAGTAACAATGGTCACTTGTAGAAAAATCCTGTGTCCCTCTAAAAGACTACAGATAGCCCGTTCCCCACCCATCTGACAATCACCATGCTCATGATTTTTCTCTTCACTACTCTGTGCCTCACCACTCTGCTGCAATTCTTTTTTTTTTTTTAATTTTTCAACGTTTTTTATTTATTTTTGGGACAGAAAGAAACAGAGCATGAACGGGGGAGGGGCAGAGAGAGAGGGAGACACAGCATCGGAAACAGGCTCCAGGCTCCGAGCCATCAGCCCAGAGCCCGACGCGGGGCTCGAACTCCCGGACCGTGAGATCGTGACCTGGCTGAAGTCGGACGCTTAACCGACTGTGCCACCCAGGCGCCCCACTGCTGCAATTCTTTAAATAGAAAACGTCCTTCTCATTGCAGACAGTGTGACCAGATTTTTGGTTCAAGAAAATAACATCAAAATATTTGGATGCAGGCAAGCTGACTACCACACACCAGAAAACTGTAAACTGTCAATTTTGCTCTTGCTGAAATTTTTTTGCAAACCTGCGTTTTATTGAAATTCAGAATATTCTTCTCAAAACACTATCCAGTATAATAATTAAATGTTGACACCATTTTCCAAAGTGGCTTGTGCATTAGCGCTCTTTCTCCCACTCTCTCTCTCTCTCTCTCTCCCCTGAGCATCTTTCTGGAAATATTATTAAGTATAATATTTGAATAAATGGTCGTGCAATTCTGGCAATATAGGAGCTCTGCTTGGTCATGCTAATCTTTCTTCCTTTTCTCTCTGGCAATATATTTGGGTTTTGTTCTAGTTTCCTAGGACTGCCATAATAAAGTACCACAAAGTGGTATATAAATAGAAAAAAAAGTGGTTTTATCTAAAAATTTTTTATCTTACCATTCTGGGCACTGGAAGTCCAAAATTAAGGTGTCGTCTGGGCCATTCTCACTGAAAGGCTCTAGTGGAGAACCTGTTCCGTGTCTGCCCCAGGTTCTGGTGTCACCTGTCATCCTCGGCTTATAGCTGCGCAACTCCAATTTCTGCCATCTCCTTATAGAGTTCTCCCTGTGTGTCTCTCTCTGTGTCCAGATTTCCCTCTTCTCATGAGGACACCATTGTGCAGCCACACCCCAGCAGACTCGAAGCCTAGGCTGGGTGATGGTTCAGTGAGGCCAAAGAAAAGATGTAGAGACAGCAATCAAGGCACAGGTTTATTGGGGGAACTTACATACAGAGAGTCCAGGAGCGGCCGACTGGACAAAGCATCGAGTCGTGGGACTAACATGCAGCAGGTTTCTACATCATAGCCACTCAGCCTAGTGACTATCAGTGGCCTTCCCCTCCTTGAACGGCCACAATTTCCAAGAAGATCAAGGCCTGCCACCTGAACACTCTTCATTACAAGGGAGATGCTCCAGGGTCAGCCACCCCCCGAGCTCCTAACCTTGAACACTGACCAGCATGTTCTTCTGCACATTCTGCTTGATGGGAGGGAGGACAGGATTGCTACATTCTCAAGGCAGTGATTTAACAAGCACATTCAGGATGTGCTTGCACAAACTAGCTACCCAGCGTGTACCACACGGCTATATCAGGTACCTAATGACCTTATCTCAACTTGATTCACATGCAAACACCCTATTTCCAAATAAGGTAACATGTGCAGGTGCTGCAAATTAGGACTTCGACATGTCTTTTTTTGGAGGGGACACAGGTCAACCTAGAACAGATCATCATCACAATACAGTTAATAACCCTCGTTAGAATGGTCACATCAATACTGCCCAGTTGAAACTTCAAACTACTAGCTAGTGGATCAACTTTTTCTTTTGTTTTTTGTTTTTTTTTTTTTTTATTCTACATAGTGTCCCAGGATGGTGGACATCATGTGGTATTCAGCCACTACATAAGTATCTCAGCTATGTGGAGTTCAGCACCTGACATCTGGAAACATCTAGCGTTTAATTCTATTACTTCCATTAATTCCATCTTTTGGTCACCGTGTAGTCCTAATCTGTTTCACTTTGTAATACTTATAAGGACTCAAAGTCGTAGGAGTTCTCAGAAGCCTAATACATGTATGAAGCAAAATTATAACTAACCCTTCATGCAGCTTCTTCTGTCCACCTGTTGTTTTCACTTTTTATTTCAAAAGTAACACATATTCATTGCAATAGATCAAACAATATAGAAGAGTATAAAAGAGTTATTACTAATCTCTTTCTCCCATGTTCAGCCCAGACCCGTGAAGTAACAAACAGAATCCTGCCACAGCTTTTCAATGCTCATAAATAAACATAAAAGGATATACGGTCATATAGGATTTTTTCACATTTATCAATAAAAAGACTTGGTATGCATATTAACTTACAGCTTGATCTTTCACTTGATGTAATCACAAATGCATAGATTTATGCACAGATTTCATGCATTTTCATATCAATATAGTAATTCCTAGTATTGCTACACCATAATTTATCCAACCATTCTTAAGCTGGAAGTTCAGATATCAGATATTTCCTGCCACAAACCTGCTTGTCCTTACCTGCTACTACAGCTGTAAAATAAATCCTTACAAGTTGAATTCCTGGGCCAAAGGACAGTTTTAAGTTTTTTATGAGATTACAGCAATTCACATTCCAACCAATAATGCGTCTTCTCCCCACACCCTTACCAGCACTGAAGTTATCGATACACTTTCCTGAGTAAATGTTCTCGTATTTTATTTTTCGTTAAGAGTCTTCAGTGCTTGCTTGTGGAAGTCACATAGCACACGACACAGCAAACGCACAGGTTTTCCCATTAAAGGCATCTATTCTCTCTGTAGACAGAGTCAGGTATTCTCGACCAAGTGTCGTCGACCCTACGCATCTGCTAAACACAGGACCTCCACTGCACCCAGTCAAGTGTACTCCAGGCCAATGTTGCTCCCTGGCTAAAGAAAGTCTCAGTTCACACAACCTCCTATTAGAATGCAGTCCCGGAAATGACTGGAACTCTTTAGAAGTTGTATGCCTTTTGGGAGTCTCATCCCACACTCTAAGTAGTTCATCCAAATACCCTCCCAACCACAGTAGTACTTTCTCCATTTTATTACACACATATTAATTAATATCCTGCCTTGATTCAGAAGGTTAGACAATTTTCTACAACATTGTTGATATTGATATAAATCCTGATGAAAAGTTCAGAAACATTTCTGCTGCCCTTCAGAAAAATCAGATTGTCCTAAAATTTTTAAACTCTTTCACTGGCTTTCTACTTGTCCCATCCATCAATATAACTATGCCCTTGGTATACTTTCTGTTGAAAATTATTCTAGTAATGAGTTAGAGTTTGAAATTTTTTAACAAAGATTTCCAGATTTTCTAAACTAATCTGAAAACAGTTCATGAACATTTGCTTGTCATGTTTCAATCAAATATAAAATAGATATATAAGTAGACGTATTTGATATCATGTCAACTGAAAGTTTTTTTGAGTATTAGGAAAGTAGCATGCTGAAAATTGTGGATTTATAACTTGCCTTGAAGTTAAAAGAGATATTTAACAATGTAAGTAAACTTATTGAATTTTGTATATGACTACAATTTCAAAGTAATTTAGGAAAGTAACAAAGAAATCCATAATTATTTTCCAAATAACAAGTTCTAGAAAATCTAATAAAAACATAGCTGAAATGTAAAATTTGCATATAAATTTAGACTTCATATTTCAAAGCTGGTAAATATATTGTAGAAAAGGAGCTTTTAATTTCAATTTATGCATACCTACAAGGGCATGAAAGTTTAAATGAACAGAATAGAGATGTTTCAACATTGGTTTGACTAATTATTAGCAAGCTACTTATTTCCAAGGTGTCCTCTGGCCATTTCATCAGTAATAGTATGTATATACTACAATTATTAGAGGAGCTAGACTTTATTTATAAAGGCATAAGGTTGAATCACACAAGACTGAATAATTTCACTATTTAGTTTTTCTCTAAGAATAGAGAGCCCAAGAATAGGAAATAACCAAAGATACCATTCCATTTAGCATGGGACCCATGTAAGCAGATGCACTTTGCTTTTACAATGACTTGATCTTTCCAAATAATTTGATTGATCCTGAAATACATATAGATACAGTACTTAAGGGAAAAACTATTTCCTCCCGTCATGGATTCCCCCTGTCTGTTTGGGGCAAAGACAAGTGCCCAGCTTCTTCATAAGGAAAGGGTAAGCTTGGTGCTTTGATGAATGACGTGCGAAGGACTGATGAGAGAACCCAGCAACGCCTTATAGAATCAAGTGCTGTATAAAGTAAAGCAACATTTATTAAGCTTTTGAAACTGCACTGCTTCCTTAAAAATGAATCGCAAATTTAATTGAAAAGCTAAATTGGAATAGTGACAGTAATAGCACCCAAAATAACAGTGAGCAAGTTTAGTCCCATTGCAGCCCCATTACCAGGGTATGTGGTTAAGCTAAAAAGAAAAAAGGGAGGAAAAAAAAAAAAAAGTCTATGTCCTGCTCTCAGCTCTCAGTCCCTCTGTGCATCAGCTTTATACTTAATGGCTGGCTGCCATCCAGGAGGCTGTTCCAGGCCTGACATGATCACCACAGCCTACAGAGAAAGAGCAAGTATCTCTCACAGGACATAGGTGAGGAAAGTAAGTTTCTTTCCTGGAATTACCATCAAACTTTTTCCTGCAACTGTCTGACCTGAATTGAGTCTCTTCACCCATTGCTGTGGCTAAGGAGATGGGGCTGACATCAGCCAGCCCCCACCTCTGGAATTGGCTGTATAGGCAACTCTACCCAAACTGAAAGGCTAAGAATGAGGTAGCATTGGCCAATATGTGACCAAACTATGATTTCCGAGCTCGATATTAGATTTAAGCAATATTGTCTATGGTCCATTTAAAAGTGTATTCATATTCATTTCTACTCTTCATTCTGTCATTTGAATGTATTTCTTCTCTGAAATTAACACGTTATTTGGTTAATTCTCATCTTTCCTAATTCTCAGGTTTATTTGATCTTGGATAAGTTTTATGAAAAACAGAATTGTAAGATGAAAAGGTGGTGCTACGGTCTGAATGTGTTCCCCGACCCAACTGCCCTACTGATCCTCCAAATTCATATGTTGACTTCCTGAACGCCAAAGGTGATAGTGTTAGAAAGAAGGGCTTTTGGGAAGTGACTTGGCCATGAGGGCAGCGCCCTTATGAATGGGATTAGTGATTTTACAAAAGAGGCTCCAGAGAGATCCCTAGCCTCTTCCACCATATGAAATCACAGGGAGAACAAGAGGTCCCTGACCAGAACACAATCATTCTGGCACCTCGATCTTGGACTTCCCAAACTCTAGACTGTGAGAAAAAAATTTCTGTTGCTTATGAGTTACAGTCTGCAGTATTTTGTTATAGCAGTCCAAAAGGAATAAGACAGATGGTATTAATGCATTTTCTAAATCAAGAAATTCACCAAGGATCTTCAGTTAGTTTAGGCACCAAAAAAAATTTTTTATTGAAAATAAGAATTATTTGCATTTTTGTTTTTCAGGATTTAACATCATATCTCTGATTATGTGCCTGTGTGCCCACCTAAGGGACATAAATGAGTCCCAGTTATTAAAAAGAAATGCACTTATCTAGGTTCTGTAGTTCCTTTTAATTGTGTTTCTGTAAGAGTTTGTGTTTGGAGGGAACAGTGAATGCAAAGGATCTCAACAGCTGATGAAACCCCTTTTTCAATTTTTTCCAGAACTGCTGTTGCTTTTTTGGAAAGCATTTGACCACCATCTGCCCTCTGCCACTAGGGCCCCAACAGCTGCATCTTGCAATGTTGCACGGCAGCAAAGACAAAGGTTTATACCACACACAACTGGCTGTCATAACGGGAGCCTGTGGTCCAGTTATACAGTCCATTAAAAAATTCAAACATTTATACCCATATTAGGCTTCCTGGCTATCTGGTTCATGCCAGCTCCTCCCTAGGGCAGCCCTGCTATGACTCATCGCCCACCCCAGGGAGCCCAGCCTAATTTACTGCTTTACATCCCCAGCCTCGTTCTTTCCGCAGACGTTCTCATCCAGATGCCACTGCTGTGCTGAAGGGGTAGGCTGGAGCTAAGGATGGAGATACCTTCGTGATCTCTCGTTCACTTAGAGCTAGTTGGGTTATGTTGGAGTAGGGGCCTTTCCCAA